TCTTGATTCAATTGCGTTATCCCTGGGATTATTAGTTCATACTATAATTCAAATACTTCTAATTATCATATTGGCGTCGCGATGGGGCCTGCGGTGGAACAGTTAGATATTCATTCGGATTTTGATGCTTATGAGGATTACTTTGAAAGGTTCGAAATCTGGGCTATGACCAAGGAAGATGATGAGAATATTAATATTGTGGCACATTTTCTCACATTCATCGGAAAAGAAGCATATAGCTTAACAAAAATTTTGGCTTTACCGGAAAAGCCCATTTCTCTTCCTTATACAACTCTCAAGGAACTACTTTTAGACTATGCTAAGTATACAAATTTCGAATGCGGTAAAGGGAGATTTCGTAAAATAATTCATGAGGATATAAAAAATTCCATTACATTACGTCGCCCCATCCCAGTGCATACTCAAGATTATGCAGATAATTCATTTGGGAATTGCGATGCAGTTGACGAGGATGGGCACAAGTTTGGTCAATGTTTGTGCTGTGGAAGGTTCCACCCTTTTAATTCATGTAAATTTCGTAATTGTAAGTGCTTTAAATGTGTTGATGTTGGACATATTCAGTCAGTTTGTAATACTACTGTTCATGTTGCTGCAACTAATATTAAGTCTTTTGATTCTGATTCTATTAATCTGAATATTTATAATGATCATTTATCTTTATCGACGATTTCAAAAGACAGTTTAGAGTCATATATCAGTTCAGAGTTAAATGAAACTCAAGATTCTTGCGAGACAACAATTTCTAATGAATCAACCTATCAGATTTCTCATGTTATTGTACCAGATATGGTTTTTCCTAATGATTCACATATTTCTGGTAAAATTTCTTACAAATCTGGTGAAAATATTTCGAATAAACCTAATGATGATCAAAAAAATGATGTAGTTTTGATAGATGCTGATTTTTCTAACGATCCTTTACTCTGCAATGACATTCTTAATAAATTCGAGAAAACTATTTTAGAAGAATCGAATCTTGATGTCATATCAAATATTATTTGTCCTCATGATGCATTTGTTTCTTGTGAGAAACTTGTTCAATGCGAAGCACGAGTATTAAATGAGTTAGAGTTTGATTACAATTCAGATAATTCCATATCAACTGTTGTTTGTCCTTATCATAAATTCACTTTCAATTTTTACTCTAGTCAAATTGAGAAAGATGTTTTAAATGAAGCCACATTATTCATAACTTGGGGATATGAAGATCCGACATTATTTCGTGGGGGAGGATAGTCTGAATGTCTATGGTTCAAATTCTAGGAAGCAGTACTTTCAGTACTCAACGGACATGATGATTGTACACAATCCCAGAAATCAAATATAACAGAGTCTTTATCCAATACATTGTGTGACAGACACAGCATGAACTTGAGGAGAGGAAGACGTACAATTGATTACAGACACTTAGACTCTAATTTAAGCTGTGGCGGATGTGGTGTTTGAATGAACTAATGACTCCTTTGTACTTGTTGAATGTTTGATTTCGAATTCTAAATACAGTACATTCGTTAGTGCTTGTGTAGTACTTCTTGATTCAATTGCGTTATCCCTGGGATTATTAGTTCATACTATAATTCAAATACTTCTAATTATCATATGGTTGTATGCCCTCACTCTGCCTGAGGTGATTGTATATAGGGCTTTTAGGATGTTAATAAACTTCTCAGGCACACCCTTCTTCAATAGACAATCCTAGAGAACAGTCCTATCCAACGAATCGAAGGCAGCCCTGATATCAAGAAACACTACGATTGTTGGCCTGTGATAAGTATTACAGTGTTCTAACATTTGGAGGAGGATGAAGATATGGTCGATGCATCCTCGACCAGAACGAAAACCAGCCTGCTTCTCGCGAGTCAATCTCGGGCTTTGAACAACCTACGAAGTATAACGGAAGCCAATAGCTTGGAAGCAATCGGAAGTAGACTTATCCTCCGATAGTTGTTACAGAAACGACGTAAACCTTTTTAAAGATAGGGACAACTATTGAATCATTCCATGACACTGGTACACTATCTCGCTCCCGGACCTTTGTAAACAACGCCGTCGGCTCCTTAGCCAGAAAGTCACCACCATCTTTAAAAAGAGCCGGAGGTAAGTCGTCTGGGCCCGGTGATTTGTAGTGCTTCAAGAGTTGGAGTTCCTTGTGGACTTCCGCCTCATTTGGTGGATCAGTCGTCACCGGCCATGGAGGGCAGGACAGTCTGATCGATGTTGCCGGAGCAGCAGGCTAGTTGAACTGCCCTTCGAAGAATTCGGCCCATCGTCCAAGACGTCGATGGATGTTAGTGATTGGCATCCTGTCATCCTCGCAGATTGTTTCGATCACACCAGACTTCTTGCTGCCAGTGGCTCGGATGAGTTGGAAGAGCTTCCGGTAATTACCAGATGCAGCTGCTGCTTCCAGCTCATCAGCGAGCTCCGACCAACAAGTTTCTCGGTCCTTACGCAAGCTTTGTCCAATTTCATTGCGTAACATGCTTCGTTTGTGGTCAAACTCACGGTCACCCGGAGTAGACGACGGGCTTCAATGAGTTGTAAGGAGCCTGAAGAAACCCAGTGCTTATAGGCGGGACGTTTCGCGAACCCATAACAGACTTATTCGCCATTTTCATGGCGTCATGCAATTGCAACCAATGCTCATCTATACTCTTCGGTGGAATGGTAGCTAGCCTAGAAGCTAACTCGGTTCGGTACTTACTAGCAACGGAAGTTGCAACCAGCTTGCTAACACCAATCCTTTGGTGGCGGTCACTTCGTTGTCCACTAAAAAGTAAGGTAAGATTGGCGCAGACCAGGGCATGATCAGATTCCAGATAGGTACTCTAAAAGGAGCGGCAGTCTTGTATACAACCACGCCAGCGGTAGCTGATCGCGATGTGATCAATCTGAGTCCAGGCTTGAGATGCAGAGGGAGGACGCCAGGTGACACGTCGGCGATGAGTGTGCCGGAAGTTAGTGCTAGCCAGAAACAGGTTGTGGTCTGTGCACAGTTGCAGTAGACGGCCCTCGTTAT